TCACACACTACACTAAGCTTTGTCACACCTAACACATTCTCATCTATCACATAACCCACCCACCACTGTCACACACTACACTAAGCTTTGTCACACCTAACACATTCTCATCTATCACATAACCCACTCACTACTTTCACACACTACACTAAGCTTTGTCACACCTAACACATTCTCATCTATCACATAACCCACCCACCACTGTCACACACTACACTAAGCTTTGTCACACCTAACACATTCTCATCTATCACATGACACAATTTCTCTTTTCACCTTGAGCGGTATACTTGAACAATACAGTCTGAAATAGTACACTGAGGGGCTCTAACAAGTTAGATTCCTGCTGTTTATTTAATTAAAAGGACAATATGTAGCATGAAGATTGCATTAAGATGACTCTTCTGTGTAAAAGCCAGGCTATCAAAATGTCAGTCTCTCAAAGAACCATGACAGACTGTATTGTTAAAGTATGTGCAAACAGCAAATACCACAACATCCACTTCAGTACAACTGACATGTACAACTAATGCATGCAGCCTTTATTTTTATGATAACTTAAGTCATCAGATAACCATACAATATTATGTGCTGTGAATAATAATCTGATGTGTTGGGTTTTGAGTGAGTTTTGGTCAAAGGTATAGGTTGTTTTGAGGTCCTTGAAGTTGTACAATGTATATTTGTCCACATGGACATGTGTAAAAGGTGAGGTTAAAAACAGAAGTAGAACTATGTAAAAACTCTGTATTGAATAAAGCACAAATCAAGAAGCTTTTAAGCAGAGTAGAGGAGATAATCCTCTCTTCCGTGTTCTGTAAAGCTTAGTCATGAGTGCTTTATCTGATTTAAACCATGATTTGAACAGAAACAATAGGCTGCATCCTGCTTAATTCCTTTATTTGTGCATGTCATGACTGCTCAAAATAGATTGCGATGCAGCCTGTTGTTTCTACTCAAATTGTGTTAGAAACACATTTGTATAACATAAATAACATAGATAGGTCCTAAAGATTAAGACTGTGCATTACTAATGCAAGTCATACTACTGTGTGTCGTATTATTATCAAAATTAATAACTATACTGGGTTATATAAATATTTTTGTCCTTCCTTGATATATCCAAATGTATGGATGTAAACCTGTCAGCTGCTTACTTTTCAAATTAGATAGATTAATAATCAAAAGATAAGAGTCAGTGAAACTTTGCAATAAAATTAGTAATTGCATTACGTTTTAGTAAATTACATTAGTAATTATAATATAATATAGTATTTTAGTAAAATGTAATGCGATTTTTTTTAAAGGATGTTTTTGAAATATGTTTGGTTTTGATCAAAAAAAATCAAAATGGGAGGATAGTAGATTTTACTCTTTTTGAAGCATTTCTCTGCCCCACGCCTAGAAAATGATGAACTACAGTAACGCCATCTTTTGGTTCTATTTCCAGCGCTACATGGTCTGCGACTCTGACGGGGACATGAACCTCTTCAATTTAATCGAACGCATGCTGGAATACGACCCATCGTCCAGAATCACACTCAAGGAGGCGCTGGAGCACCCGTTCTTTTCGACGCTTCCTGATTCTCAGAAGCTTCCAATGGAGTCAAAAAACGAGGATCGTGAGCGCTCACATAGTCTGAGTAGATAGCCGACCTTTGACCTCAGAAATTGTGTTAGGTGTGATATTGAGACATTTTGAGGGTCGCAGCAGATCGTTGTCTTAGGAGAGAGATACAAAAATTGATACTTCAGATAAAATCCTTTTTTTTTTTTTTTTTTTTTTGCTCAAAGTGGAACTTTTTTTTTTCAATCTATAAACATCACAGCCCCTGCCAGTGCCAGTAAAGAATTCTACCACCCTCATTGTATACTCGAGTTCACATAAGAAACTTCACACTCATACTGTTGATCCACATATTTTCTGCCTCCTGGCTTTCAATTTCTGACACATGATTAATTTCACCCTTTGTCTTTTGGCATGTCTTCCTTGACTGTGTATTAATTATGACTATATCCATATTCCATTTTGTATTAAGTAACCAAAATAAAACAAAATAAATATATAAAAATGACCTCTTGGATATATTGTCTCACATTTACTGCTGCCCTCTTTTGGTGCACAGTTTGGTGCTATTAGTTTTATGAAAAAACTTCACATGAAATGCATATATTAACCGTATTAAATGCATAAGGAAGACTAGTCAAACCCATTACTGTGATAGTAATATTTTAAGTATAATTTTAATTCAACAGTTGAGGGGTGTGGATTTTTCTCCAGTTTGCAGGCACTGGCAGGTAAAGATAGTATTTTAAAAAGAAAATTTGAAACCCAAAATTGGCATCAAAAAGATTGAACATGTTTTTCAATGGGTTAAAAAATTAATTTGAAAAAAATTTGGTTTCAGAACTCATAAAAACAAATTTATTCTGGCTTCTCCAAAATGTCAGTTTTATTTTTAGTTTATACTTTTGTAAAAAAAAAATCTCCTTTTTTTGCGACCGAGATGAATAGACGAAAAAGTGACAACTACCAAAGGAAAAATGACAATAGCTATGCTACGAAACACCATGTCAGCGCTCACAGAAATCCTCATGTAACCAATGTAAATTAAAGTATTGGTGATAACTCATATAAACTATTATCATAATTATATTGAATTTTTGTAACCAGTTGAACGTTGTGTTGCTAGGAGACGTGTATTAACAAACCAAGGGACACATTGCAATACGAGACGAGAGGAAACTTAAGAGGAGAAAAATATATATATATATACATACACATATTCTACAGGCGCTGTATTTGTTTTACCTTTATCCTAAATTCAACAGCAGGCTATCACCCAAGGCAAATTCAGACCAGTTTTAAATTTAAACCTTAGCGAGTGTTCAATGCATCACCATCTGCTGTGGTTGAATTATTCCATGGTACCTCTGAGTAAAATGGTCAAAAGTCTCTTCTGGGACAGTCTTTTGTTGAACATCTGAACAGAGGTCTATATCCGTGGTATGGTAATGCACATCTCTGGTGGTGGTGGTGCTTTATGCCAGAGTAGGTTTAATTTGGAACTGGTGTGAGTGTACCCAGAGTTACCAGCATGACAGTACTCAAAATGTAATCTTTTGTGCAACATCCTATGAACAGAAAGTTACTTACAGGAGTCTGTCAAAATGATACAAAAAAACAGGCCACCTGTTGATGCATTTTCTTGTCCCAGCCCCAGAAAATTAACTACACCAATGACATCTGTTGGCAGCTTTGCACACCAAAGCTGTATCTTATTGAATGAATTTGGTGTAGTTTTGGTGAGGAATTTTTTTCCTTATAGATCTGTAAAAAATATTGGACACCTTAACTGCATTTATAAGTAGTTCAGAATTATTTAAAAGGTGTGACATATCACTTCCCAACTCTTTAGTTCATTATTTGTATTGTCTGAATTAGAATTTTTTAAGACGGAGAAAAATCACATAATCATTGTACTTTTCCCTAGACATGAGGAAAAGCAAAAATTGCTTACTTAGTTTTAAGATAGAATTTATGTTGAATGCTTTTCTCTAGTCTGAAAAAGAAACTGTGTATTGTTTTTTTTTTATGCACAGCTATGTGGTTATTGTAGTCAAGTGGACCTAAATGAAATGCTCCATTTATTATTAAATTAAGTAATTATATATTGAACAAACAATTATTTACTCCAAATAAAACTTAAATGATGTTCTTAGTAGTTTTAAAGGTCTAAAACTACAGCAGTGGCATGTATTCATAAAAAACAGTCCCATAATCTTCTTGTTTATAGAATGTACTGTAATGGAATTAAGTTATTATTTAAAGGTTGCAAGTTTTAGTCCATGTGTTTTCTGTATATAGTCTGTATTAGAGCAGTGCTGCCGTAGTCGAATATCGATCTAGGTTTGCTTCTTATGGAATGCAACTAGTGCTTCGAGATATTTTAAGCACCATTTAATATAAATCCTGTGAATAGAATGGTGCTAAAACCCACCAAGCTCACTTATAAAGCTATCATTATGTTGAATATGGCTGCTGGATTTTCCTTTTGTAGTTGTGGACAAGTTGTAAATGGCAACACCAGTCATGTTTCCCATCACTGGTAGATGGCAGCACCAACTGGTGATCTACACTCTTTGTAGATGGCAGCACCACTACTGGTAGACTGAGACTACATGTAGATGGCAGCACCAGCTTGGTTCACCCTTTCTGTAGATGGCAGTACCACCAGGCTGCTCCCACTATGTGTAGATGGCAGCACCAGTTGGTTGCTTTCACTATTTGTAGGTGGCAGCACCAGCTGGCCAATCCCACTGGTGGTAGCCCATCTAGTTTTGTACATGTGTATGTTGTGTTCCTAAAATGAATACAATAAATTTTATTTCATGAAAGTTAATTGCTTTTTATGTCATTATATGCAATTATTGTGAAATTGCAGAAATATTTGTGAAGTTTGAGGTTGTGCAAGTTCTGGTGCACAGTAACCCTTACAGTCCTAGAGAGTTAAATGATCATATAAATTACTACTTTTTGTTACTTATACGACAAAAAATGCCTAAAAAGTACATCAAATACTGGTCGTGCATTTGACCTATTCATCCGTCTCACCAGTTCGTGAAAATACGCCGATTACTGCTGCATGTCCATTACTAATATGCATAAAATATGTCTGAAATTATGCAAATGGGAGTGGATGAAAAGAGGGTCATATATAGCACAGAAAAAAAAACTGTTCAAATGTCATTTTTGGTAAATACTAGACGATAACTTTTGTGCTTTCTTCAAATTATATTATTTGAAACAATATGGTGGTATTTGACCGGGTTTTTTTGGCAATGATATGACTTGTCAACTCGTTTCAAATGTATCTCTAAATATTGAAAACGAAAAGCTCTTGGGTGTGATTTGGATACTCGTATAAGTGTGTTGTATAACATATAAAGTAAAATACAATCAAAATAATTATTCTTATACATATACAACGCACACGTACAATATATATGTTTCAAAAAAGCCTGATGGTAACGTACCCTCTACTAGGGCCACAGTTATTATTTTGTGGACATTTTTTGCTGAAGCACAGTGCAGAGAATAGCCATCTATTTAAACCAGAGACATATCTGTTAATATCTAATGAAAAATCTATCTGTGGCCCTGGTAGAGGGTAAGGGTAACGTACGTTGTGGAGTGGATGAATTCGAATCTTGTCTTCTCGAACACAATCCTGCGCCATCCTTTTTTGTACGATTCTTTCTTTCAAGTAATATGGGATTGATTGCAAGGAACAGTCAGATCTTTTTATATAGCAGATATAATTGTTGAAAAATTTTTGATGATGATTTCAAACAACCCAGTTCGGGGATGGGGGGGGGGAGTTCATTATGCCTTATCATGGAATAAAGACCAAATTCAAATAAACCGAAACTAACGCGCGAAAAGTGGGTTACCTGTATTGTGTTATTATGTAAATCAGGTGAGCATTTTGGTGAGCGGTGTTCAGATAAAACCAAGGTCAGTAGAAGATGGAGAGGAAAGAAGCCTCATGTCACGTTGCATCGATTCCCACGTGTAAGAAGAAAATTAGGCGCTGAAAAGCGACAGCAGTCTGTGGTAAGTACTGTATAGACGACGTAAAGACTACACAACAGATTTTTGTGGGCGATGTTTGCCCAAAATGTCGCATTTTGCACTTAAGGTATAATGAACACGGAGACATTTTAGTGACCTGAACGATACTTTCTTTTAAAAGTCCAGAATCAGTTTAAATATTAGTTTATTCATTCATTTTTGTTATTTTTTCTAGAGGGAACGCATTTGCCAATAAAAAGTAAATGTCTACCTTCAGCTTTCCATTATCTACACGAGAGATCCGTCTTACACTAGGCAGGTATACATGTACGTATCCACACCTTTCATTGCCTTTTGAATCTCAAAGTTATGTTGTGCCCAGCCTTTTTATTCCAGAGGACAGAGATTTATCATTTTAAGAATCAAAATACACAATGGCTAAAGTGGTTATATACCGATTTCTTAAACATTACACTAATGTTTCAATACCTAGATTAATGTATTATTTAAAGTTGATCAGCATTGTTTGTAAATACAATGCCATGTATACCGAAATGAGTTGCTACAATGATTTTATATACTGTTTCTCAAACTGTAAGACTTCGTTTCGTAAATGTGAATTTCTTTGTTTAATTTCAGTGACAGTTACCCATCGTTTACGATGACACCAGAGGAGATTTACATCAACGGCATCACATTCTTGTTCAACAGTGCCCGCACCCATGTCAAGATTGTTTAGTTTGTTGGAGTTGGTTTTCTGTTTTAAAATTTGCAGGGTCAATGTTAAATATGAAATTGGTTGTAATATTCTGCACTGTATCAAAGGAAAAGTTGCACGTTAATAGAATTTTATTCATGAAAGTCGTGATCAGAAAGTGAAAAGAAAATAACGTTAGTCCTCACTGAGCGTCAACTCTTCATGTCGCTGGTTAACTGCTAAACATGTGGTACAAAATCGTGACAGTACACGTAGGACTGAACTTTAAAAAACAGCCTGAGTTGGAAAACCAGCCTATTTGGTTTTAAAAGAAATGTTAATTTTTCACATAGTGGCATTTTCAAAGTGTGACTTTGAAGTCCTTTGCTAGTCACACTTCCTGAATATCCATGATATTTATAATGTATTATAATCGATGGTGTTTATGTTGTTAAGCATTATGTCAACTTGCATCAATATTGATAAAAAAAACTATCTTGTGTACTGCCACTACAATTGCTCTAGTTTACAAAAATTACTAATATACAGCTCAAATTGGCAAACCAGCTTGATTGGATTTTTATTATTATTATTATTATTTTTATTATTATTTATTATTATTATTATTATTTTTTATTTATTTATTTATTTTTTTTGTAGTGTGTACATTTGACGTCTTTGCTGCCTTATTTATTTATTTATTTATTTATTTATTTATTTATTTATTTTGAAATTATGCAATTTTCCGTTAAAGTTAATTTTTCACATATCATTTTTAAGATTCGACTCTGAAATAGCTACATATGCCTAACATATATGTTTCCTGTTGTGCATAAATAAAATTTGTTGTCGACTTTTTCTATTAAGCATAATGTTTTATTGCAACAAAACTGACAAAATAACCCTTTTTTGTGCAACATCATTTTCTCCTTTTTGTCAGTCCATTTGACAGCTTTACTGGCTTATATTTTTCCTGATATTCTTACAGAAAATTGTCATCAGCAACAGTTCTGGCGGCAACTCTTTTCAGCTGGGAATCCAATCTAAGGATTTTTTTTCCTGTTTAAGCATCAGTTGACCCTTCCTCACAGAAGGAATTCCCTGGTCTAGAGATGATCATTCTCTTACTCTTGCCGTCTGGGTAGTAGTTGCAGACCAAGCCCGGGGCACAGCCACAGGAGGCAAACCCTGGGGAGTGACAAGAGGCCCCTTTCTGTATATAGGCCATACATCTGCCCTCTGGAATGATAAGTTTCCCTTTATTGATGCTTTTGCGTTTTATTAGGGAGCGTTCCCATAAACCCATCACACTAGCTGGATCGATGTAACTCGAAACTCTTAAACTAAACTCTAACTTTAAAAATATTTAATGCAATGTAAGTAGCTATACTGTTTGGCTCGCCTACTCAAGCTGCTAGGGGGTAATTAACGAAAGTTTGATCGAGCTAGCTAGTACGATGAGGTTATGGGAACGCAGTCTTGCACTGGTTGTGATCTAACAATACAATGTATATATTTTGTATTTATGAATTGATAAATTCAGAGAGATTTTCTGATATATATAAAATGAAATCAGATGATCAGTTAGATGGATTTGTGATCAAAGGTTGATTACAGCTGTGACTATGTACTTAGCCGACTTCTGAATTTTTAAACAGACATGGGGAAAACTGGAGACATTAAAGATCGGGAGGACCTGCACTTCAAGAAATTTCCTGGTCAATCTTTGCTGGTCCGAAATAAGAATTTTATTTCTATCGGTCTGTTTTTACGTTTAATTTATTTTTGTTTCGTATTTTCACATAAACCTTACCAAAATTCTTGCAGGTCCTCTGGCGTTTCAAGCGGTGGTGACTAATCGAAAGGTACTTTCCCCATGTCTGTTTTAGCAGACTTAACTTAGCCCAAGAACTCTAATAGTGTTTCTGTGAAGCAAGACCCTGAATGACAGCACACATATTTTAAATAGGCTACCTCGTTTAGACAGGAAAGGCAGGTCAGGTAGAACCCTCTTGCTGACTATGTGGAATCTGTACTCTGGTACACAGCATTCACCATCATTACAGTCATCGTTAGTTTTACAGTCACGTATAGTTACTGCAGCCTACAAATGTATAACCGTTATATTTTTTTAGGCTGAAACATTGACTTTGCACCTGTGTTTTGTGTGTGTGTGTGTGTGTGTGTGTGTGTGAAATATATGAGTTCATGCAAGTGATTTTTCTTGTATTTATTTATTTATTTATTTATACGGTAAAAAATAAATAAACGATATATATATACTCACAAAAGCAGTAGCTACTACAGCCAGGAAAACCAGCAACGTCTTCATCTTGCCTTGTGAACAGTCAATATGTTTTACTGCGTGAATTGGATTAAGATTTAGTTCAGTATTGAGTAAATAAGTGTATGTGGGCTGTGTGTCCTGAACAGGTGTCACTGGGATGGGTCTACGGTGAAAACTTGGGAATTCCGTCCCTTAAAAATTATTATTTAATATTTAAAAATCTGCGAGTCCGACGTGGCAACAATTTGCCAAGTTTAACTAAATTTTCAAAGTGAAAAAAAATTCACCTTGATAGAGAATCGATTTCTGACAAAATTTTCAAGACAGACTAAATTTTCAAGTTTTAATCGTTTAACCATTATGATACTGTGACCTGTTTTGGTTTTAAAGTAGGGAGATTGATGCCAGTAAATGCTAAATATAATATGTGTAAAGGTTTTAGAATACATAACTGGTTTATCAATTTTGTATTAATTTAGTACATGCGTGGAAGATGCAACAACGTCAGCTTTATGGATTGTTTGACAGTATCCAGGTAGACAGACTTAGAAACGTAATTCATGTAAATATGACTTCAGTGGGTGACTTACCTACTTAGCGACATGCTTAGCTAATATCCCAATATAAAAAAAAATATCATCAGAATTTGATCAAGCATGTTTGAGAAAGTTTGATAGGAAATGACGGGAAATATACAGGCATTATCCGAGCATAACCAGAAAAACTGGAGTGAATGGACACAAATACCGGGAAATACTTTTAGAATTGCAGTAAATCTATTGTTTAAAAAACAAAATATTTTAAAAAGTTCTAGTATTTTCCAAAATTGGGTCAGGGAAATTCACAGCATTTCCCCTAACACTTTGTCTGACCATTTTCAGATATTTTTTTAATATTTGCAGTCTTTTTTATCTGACAAAATCATAGCATTTTTGTTTGTTTACCAAATCTTAAAATTTCCCGTTATTTCCGAACATTTTCTGCTGTTGCATATTTGCTAAAATCACGTTATTTCTGACTATTTTGTATACTGATTTCAGATTGTTATTGATTTTATGTTCTGGATAGTTCTTTGTCATCGTTACACACCGCACTTTTTAATTAAAATGATAAGTCTTTTGATCAGCAATTTTCAAAATGCACCGAATCTCCGACTTGTTTTATTTTGTGTATTGAAGCTCGATTTATATTTCAGAATACGATGTTGTTGTGGAAATTGCTATTTATGTAGAGCAAAATGGAAATTTCGCTTTAAAAATTCGAGATATATTTATTTGCAATCTTTTGTTCAGTAATAAACGCATATATATGTCTTTATTTAAAAAGTATGTTTATTTTCTTCGGTTCGACGCGATCCTTGGAACTTCTGCCTCCATCCAATTTTGATTTCCTGCCTTCCGTCTTACCAACTGAGCTATCCACTCAGCTTGTTTTCGTCTCTTTGCGAGGTCCTCTTGTGGCAATTCAAAGTTCTTATTTGAATTTTTTTGGCAAAAGGTAATTTGCTGGGACCTCGAACCGCCAGGAATCGAACCCTCGACTTTCTGTCTCGGAGGCAAGCGTGCTATCCACTCTCCTAAGTGTTCCCACCCACCCTCCCCTGGTAGACTTTCTTCTTATACTAACCAAATGGAAAATTCTAATAGCCCCCCCCCCCCTTGCTTAAGTATTCGGTAATTTCAAAGTACCCAAGCCAGGAATCGAACCTCGGCTTTATTTCCACTGTACCATTCAATAAAGAAAAAACACGAAAATATCTTGCATATATTTGAAAAGTTTTATTAACAACTCAACGAATTCCCATTCTTATCTTTAATCATTTTTAAAGTATCAACTTTTAAAACTACATTTTACAAATCTTTCAACCAAAACACATTGTGAATGTTTCAATATGTAAACCTGTGAGACAAATGTAGATTTCATTAGATAAATAAACTGTCAGTTAAACTACATGTACCCGTGTTGTTTGATCTTATAATATTAAACAAAGAACTTTAGAAAAGGCAACAAAACCAACGACGGATCCAGTACCCCATGCATCTACCCACAAAAAACCTCCGACTCGCAAAATCAAATGTAAACGATATTCTGAATTGCCCAACATTTTTTAATTTGGCCCCCATTAAAACTTTCCTGGATTCGTCGTTGTTTTTGCCTCTTTGCATGCATAAGATATAACGAAATGGTTTCAGTATAAGTGCAGCGGTAAATTACAACTGGCAAAATGAAATGAATTATAAACGTTACAATAACATTTTTAAAGATTCTCTTAGAAAACCACGTGACGAGTACAGTGATCAAATCTTGGTAAAGTCGATGAACAGGCCATGGTATTACTTACAACCTCAACTTTTTTTCAACTGCAAAATCTAGTAACAAAAGTTGTGCGATTCCCTGAACAAAAAGCGTTCTCAGTCGCAAGAAAAATATTTCTGAACCTGCTTGGTGATAATAATGGAATTTGCTGGTGAGAGAAAACTGTCAAAGAACAGCGTAAATTGAAAAATAAGATAATGTTTAATCCCGTGAATAGTCCGTTCATCTTCATGGAGTACCAGGATTTCAACAACAAACTCGTGTCAAAAATGTCAGTTTTATTTGACTAGAAAACATGTCATATTTTGTATTCTACGAACACGCTTTTCAGGTAAATAGGTACCATTAACCTTACATATTAAATGTTTCTTTAGTTATTCGGCCTGAGATTACAATCCACATAAAAATGAGACGGATAATAAACGGTAAATAGTAACATTTCTATTTCATACAACATTGTACACTTAATTTGGCAAAAAAAGCTTATCAAGTTCGATACAGTTTCGCAAATGTAGACTAAAATTTATGAGACCAGTACATTTCATATGCATCACTTGTAAAACAAAATAGTCAATTATGTTCTGTATAATGACAATTTATACAACAAGCTAGCAAGTTTTTTTAAATTCGTGATGTCATTTCCATAAAAACAAAACACGAAAAACTTATCTTGGCAGAGCGTGGCAACGTGGCATTGAAAGTAGACTTGGTTCCCATGCATGGATCGATCCATCTGGATCGGTCTAACTCCCTGGGGAGTCTCACTAAATTGCTATCAACTAACCGGCTTGGATCATTCCACAGTATTTTGTTATCCTTCTTTCTTTATCCGCATATCCTGCGTAAAATCGTACCTCTCTTGCTAAATCTGTCAAAGGAGTTGAAAATAGTTGTGTAACATGAGGTGCTGCATCAACTGGAAGGTGACGCATGCCGGAAGCCAAATGTCACATAGGGTACTAAATACTGGGGATTGGTCAAAGCCAAAATATGTTCTCCAAAATGGATCACACATAGGCTACCATCAAAAACGTAACATTGAATATCATAAAACGTTTTACTGAACCAAATAAAACTAAAATATTTGTATACTTCGTACCCAGACCGCCTGGCATCCACTCCCCGGTCACTGAAGACTGAAGAAGTGATCATTCTTTATTGGTGGAAGGTTCCATAAGATACATGGGGGAGGAGGTGGGATGAAGTAAGCGCCTTTTCTTTTCAACACTCAACATAATTTGACTAGTGAAACATGATATTAAAATTAGCAAATATAAAAATGAATAAGAAATGACTAGTGGAACCTGATATTACATAAAGCCAACATGGATAAGATTTCAAAATATGCTAAACGCTAACAAATCCCAGACCTTATCCCACTCCCAAATGATATGACATTATGTAGGTCACTGGCTCTCCTAATATGGTCCACTACTCGCTTTCATCTGAACAGTGTTTGTTCATTTTTTAACTAGATCGTACTCTAACGCCACCTGGAGGAGAAAAGAACTGAGCATCTCTGTTGCAATCCATAACTCAGTGTATTGCTGTAGATAAATAGTGTAAGACGAATGCAATGGCCACACAATTACCTAATAATGAGTAATTTACATTGTTTTGACTGCATAATGCCTCATGACTTTGATGCATGAAATTCACTCATATTAATATGGTGTACACCCCCTCAAAAATGTACCCAATTTGAATGAATTAAAAGCACTTTGAAACTTAGATAACTAAGATATAAAAACTGCGTTAACATGTAGGGCATTTGTACATATACTCCTCTGCGTCCTTATCGGTTTATACTCCATTACCCTTGGGGCTGTTCCATACGTGATTTCCCGGTGGATGCTGTCCTTGTGTTAATAGTTTGACATTGTACTGGGATTGTCACATAGGGTTGGAAAAACTGTTTTTGAAGTGATTCTGGTCCATGGAAGGCCCAATATAGACCCCCCCTCCCCCCAAAAAAAAAAATTCCCTTGGCAAATATCGCTTTCTTCTAAAATCCGAAATGGTCGCCACTGAACGAGTTGGGCGGGTCACCTTAATGCCCATATCTTGGTAACCGAGTGCCAAAGAAACTTGTTTTAAGTTCCAGTTCCTAACGAGTTAGATATTGTCAATCATTTGCATACAACACCATAACAAGGTCGGGTGGGGTGAGGTCCGGAGTATTCCATATCTTCACGAAATGGAATAAACCGTTTTGGAAATTGCTGATGCAGGATCTAATGATAGCCCGTTCAAATACCCGTATGATAATTTAAAAGCGCCGCTTGGCGATAAATATGAGAAGTAACTAAACTCTCTCGCAAAAGTATCTGCTACCTCTTTCGTTCCCGTTGAAAATACCAAAAAATGGCGAGAGAACGGAGAAAAGTAACGCGATTAAATAAAAGCGTTCTGGAGATTAACATTGCACGTGGCGGAATGTTTTAAATTTCAAGCATGCGCGTCACTAGTCTCCTCTGTGAGTTTCATTTGAATGGCGTCATCTTCGCAAGCCTCTTTCTCGGTTTTGACCTTAACCTTTGCCACATAGACTGGCAGTCCGAACGTAAGACAGGATACTCCAACCAACAGCAAACTAAACTGAAAAACAGAATAGTAAACAGCGTTCTAAATGTACAGTAGGGGTTAAGATAGGAAACTTTAACTACATGTTTTAAAGTTTTTTTTTTCATTTTGTAAAGATGAAAAGTTTTAATGAGAATGGAACTTTAACTCTACTGGTATAATATGGTACTGGTACTAGTAGCTCGTACCGTATGCTGGAAATTTACATCGCACTAGGATTCGCTGTTCGCGCAACTGGGTCACAAAAATGTTTCTTAAAATGTATCACAAACTTTACATATCTAATAAACTTGGGAGTGTGTAGTTAAGAAAAAAGAGGGAGAGAGAACATTCCAATGCTGAAAAATGCAAACGATAGATCGCATTAGATTGCGCATGGGTCGACGGCTGCAGATGGCTTTATTGAACCGGAAACACGACAGTGACTGACAGAGTTAGAAAGAAAGAGAGAAACAAACTAACTTACAAAAGGCTCTACGTCGATATGTTCAATAAGCTGGAAAAATTGAACATTAAGGCTTCGTTCACATGCAATGTCTATTTTCTAATTTCTATTTTCTATTTGCGCTATCTTATGATCACGGTCTGTGCCCTGAATATCCCGCCGCGTAATTACTGGCAGCGCGAGCCAGTTACTTATAGTAACTTATAGTAACTGGCTCGCGCTGCCAGTAATTAGGCCGCGGGATATTCAGGCCACAGACCGTGATCATAAGACATACCGCAAATAGAAAATAGAATTTAGAAAATAGACATTGCATGTGAAAGAAGCCTAATTCATACTTACGTAGAGAGGATCGCTGTGAAGTTTGTGTTTATACCAATGAAAAAGTGGGTATTGAAGCCCACCAAAGACCGCCATCAGCGCCCTCTGGACTGTGTAGATCTTGCCAAAATGTGCGATTGGAAATCTGAAACAAAATGGTTGAAGTTTCCAAACTGTCTTGCCATAAAGTAAAATCGTTTGTTGATGGTGTATTATCCAATGCAAAACTGTTAGGAAAAGTACGATATATGAACCCAAATCGTGTTTTTAACGACAGTAATTCACCGGTCTCTATTTTCAATTCAAGACAGACTAAAAAAAAATCGAACTTATTACTCAAAAGCGGTTGTTCAGATAAGTCTCGAGTGTCGAGATGGAAGCTGTCACAGGTACCAGTACGCCTTCAAAAGTTTGCGTTGGTGGTGAAAACTTAATTTGATTTTAACATGATATATACACCTTAACTTCCAGAAGTTGATTTTGTCTATGTGCCACTGGTTTGTGATGAGTCTTTCGATGAGTCACTTACGCGTATGCGACGAATGCCGTTTGGATTCCGAACACCCCCGATCTAAGCACACAGTGGGACACCATGGCCACAAACTGTACCTCGAGGTTTGGTACGGCACACAGTATCCAAACTATCAGCCCTGACACACTGCCGATGAGAAAGGAGGGGATATACGTCTTTGGGTCGGCTAGAGGATAAAAATGAATATTATGAGATTTGGATTGTGAATAATTGGCACTCAGCACTAAGCGTTGAAGCAGGGGAAATTCCCTGGTGTGGCAGCGACATATACAGTTCGTTTGTCCATTGTAATTTTCTCCATGTACAACATCAACCCGAGGGTTGCAATCGCAGTAACGTTATTATTATTATTTATATATATTTTATTATTATTATTATTATTATTATTATTATTATTATTATTATTATACCGGGAAATCAGAAAAGGTAAAAGAGAGATCTAGAGAGATCTAGAGAGAGAGAGAGAGAGAGAGAATGTGTGTGTTTGTTTATGTGTGGGGCCTGTGTTTATGTTTGTGCTATGTGTGTGTGCTTGCACGTGTGTGTGTGTGTGTGTGTGTGTGTGTGTGTGTGTGTGACAAAAGAGAGGAGACCATGGGGAGGGAGGGGGACATACCATGTGTGGCATCTGCCCTCTGCTGTCTGTCTACTAAATACCCCAAGGCTGCTGAGGCAGGCATACTGACCACCAGCTGTACGTACCCCACCACGTCCGTATACAGACTCACTTAAAAGAAAATTAGGTGAAAATTAAATAACAAACTGGGGAGTACAAATGCCTACGGCAGTTGAAAACACTAGTCGTTCATTTTAGATAAACCATGTTAGGTAGCGCGATACCGAGAATAATCAAGTATATTATAGTTATTTTAATATTTATTTAATATTTTAATTATTTAAAAATAATTAAATGTTAATTAAAACAAAACCATCAATATTCAGACTTCTTTTTATCCAGTGACATTTCTGGCATTAGAGTCCTACATTTATTTTAAAGTAATATCACACCTTGCTGGATATTCTTGTTGGACCGGAAGTCTATAATGGCATTGAAACTGCCAAAGTAAAGTGTCACCAATAAAATATTGCCAGCAAACCACAGCTCTGACCACCAAAACAAGGGTTCTTTTAAGATTGACAGGAAAGATGTCGTGTTTCCGGTCACGTGTGACGTGACAGTGACGTCACCACCTTCTTTTACGTCACCACCTTTTATATTTCTATCCTGTTGGACTTTTTCATCGGAGTTTTGTGACGGGGCGTTAATGAGATTGGCTGTGGTGTCCTCTGTATGAGCGTGATCGTCTTCTTTTACATGCGGTTCCGACCGCTCATAGAAACATTTGCACACGGCAAACGTGCACGTGTGTAATCTGGAGTCACTTTGTGATTGGATGCCATTCTTGTGGTCGTAATGTCTCGGGGGGAGAAAGAAGGTTGTTGGAACAGCGATGAGGAACGTGACTGCAGCAAAGCAGATCAAGGAAGAACGGTAGTGAATCCCACTGTCATAGGCAAGCTGTAAACAAAGAAATATCGAGTTTTATAATGAGTTTTAAATAAATTTCATTTTATTTCAATTTTGTTATACATTGTATATTAACGGGATAACGGCTGTTCATTTTGACGTGAAATGTGTTCCTGAGGTTAAGGACAATTTTCCCATACTTCCCAATAGTCAAAATTCCATTCGACATTTAAAGTAAGTCAATTGCTTATTTATTTCAGTGTCAGCTTTTTATTTCAATAATTATTGCAAGGGATAGGCCTACTGAAATTTTATGGAATACGCCACATAAGAATTTATCCTTATCATCATCCTCATAATTATTATTATTATTAGGCCTATTATTATTATTATAAAACCTACCTTCACCAGTAACAAGCTAAAAGCGCTCATACTGGCTGCTCCGTTGAGATAGGAGCGCAGCGTCGTCTTTCTGGTGGGGAATAGCAGGGGCATGGTGATGTCAGTGGAGAGTAACATGGACCCCCCTAGATAGTGGAAGGACGCCCCGGGAAACAGCAACCATTCTGCTCCTGAAAGATAAAACAGTGGTGGTTACGAAAATAATACAACGTGGCATTGACTCTAGAACAGTTTCATTAGCTATGTTATTGTAATAGACTTGAGAAGATCCTTTTGTCTATAGCTACTTATATTTGTCTGGTCTTACCAGCCAATATTTCGTATGCTTGCTGTCATTTTTTTTTACAATCAGTGTCATATTTACAGAAACTTGTCAAAAGACGACGTTATGACTTTATTTATAAAATATTTTAATTCTATACATGTATGTAAAAAAATGCTACCAGTAGTATACTTTTTACTATATACATGTATGTATGCAAAGTCGGTTACTAAGTACTATCTGTGAACATTTAGACCCCATTCCCAGAGATTAGATCGATCCAAACTAGATCGACCTAACTCCCTGGGGGTTTACGCTAAATAGCTGTCAGCCGAGCGGGCACGAAAGTTAATATTACCCCCTTACAGCTTGTAGTAGGCGGGACGGACGTTTAAGCCGGATTATCTGACAGTAATCTAGTGAGACTCCCCACAGGGATAGATCGATCTAAATGTCTGGGAATACGCCCTTAGTTTAAAATAAACTTTCAATGTCCGTGATGGGATACTTTAATGAAACCTTGCAGCTGTTTTATTACAAGAAAAAATGGTTATTTTTAAATAATAACTTTTAAGTTTCTGTAATGTTGGTAATTAACATTCATGAAGTGAGTCAATATCCACGGGTGTTATGTAGAATTGGTAGGCATGTTGCCATAATGTGCGCTACTTAAACAGCGGCATGTACATGTACCTCGTTCCCATACCTAGGTCGATCTAGCAGGCTCGACCCATCTCCGAGGGGTTTCTCGCTAAATTACCTTCATCTTAAGCGGCTCTGATGTCTGGCATACCAACTGAAGCTGTTAGGGGGTAATTAACTATCGTTTAGCAGCTTCAGTAGGCGTGCCAGACATCTAAGCCGCTTTATCTGAAACCAATTTAGCGAGAAACTCCTCGGAGATGGGTCCATCCTGTTAGATCCATCTAGGTATGGAAATGGGGTTTAACAGAAACAGGGAGAACGCCGTAAGTAATTGAATAGGGAAGAGAGAAATGGAGAGAAAGAAACTGAAGGGGGATGACTACAGAATACCAAAGACCATAATTGTCGTGTGGTTTCTACCTCACCTAGAAACTAATGTGGAGATTATAATACCATCGTCACAGAATAATGGAGTAGGCAGGTTAATTTATATATATAAATTCCGTGATATTTTTACTCGATCAATGTGCCCATATGAAACTTAAATTCTTTGAGAATTCAACTTTCTTCTCAAAACGATCTTGTGTCGGGTGAAATATACGGTTAAGTTAGCAAGTAGGGCAAATTTTAAATCAAACCCTGTAGGCCCTATACAGTTACATGTACACCTGTTTAATAACAAAATTTTAAAAAAATGAAATGGGTATTTTTCAATGATACCTTTTTTTTTACCAGACACCTCCACATTATCCTGAATTGAAGTAGACCATATTTGATCTTTCAGCAGAAGTCCAGCTAAACTAAGGTCTAAGTTTCACAAAAAACTTAAGTCAGGTTCCCTGGCTAGCATCTTTGTTACCAGCGTTACAGGGTCACATGCACACATCTCACCCTATCAGAAACAGTGTTACAGCACTCTCATGGGCATCCTAGTCAACTAAGCCAGGGAACTGACTTAAGTTTTTGTGAAACTGGGGCCAGGCGATCCCTGGTGCGTTGGAGTGTCTTGATTAACCTAAATTGAATTAGACCGAATTTGGCCTTATAGCTTAAACGTTAAGAGTGAACTTCGGTGTAAATCTCTTTGATAAAACGGGCGCCACCTGGTGTGTTGGAGTGTCTTGTCTTACCTGGTTCTGCCATGGCCATCAGTAGTGCCCCGCCCACGGTTAATGTTCTACAAAAACGAACAAGACAAAGGTCAGATATTACTTTGTGTATGTATGTTAGTCATCCAGGCGTACTTTTTATGAATAATTAAGTTTTTAAATCTATTGCTGGACTTAAAATTGAGTCTAATTGGCGACGTTGCGTCTCCTCTAGAAGACTGGTTGAACGTTTCCTGCTAGGAAGCGCAGTGTTGCCATTTTGACTAAAATGCAAGTCCCGTAATATATTAAAAAATCATTTACTAAAGTCAGATATTATATCAAAGTGCAAACATGCACTTTTGCGTTCTTCATGTGTATCTGAGACATATCCTAATATATATATAACAGCACATACAAAAAAAGCAATGCGCAAAAAATACAAATAACAACAATATTATATAATATTTATATTATATTATATACATCTTTGTTTGCAAAAAAAGTATATAAAACTATCAAATTACCATAATGAAAACTGACACAAAAATGTTTCTACCTCTACTAGGCAATATAATATACATTTTTTTTT